TCTCTGCACTAAACATCTTAAAACCAATAGTAAACATCTGTTGAACATCAGTAAAACATGAACAATTAGTTTAAGTGGCTATTATTTCTGATAACTGTCTAGTACGGTGCTTTGTTGTGACAAGTTGGTTTCGTATAATTGACTAAAGTACGAGTCCCGGTTGATATTGCACACCCCTAGTCTGGCATTGCTGTTTCTATTTCACAGTTGTTGTTTTTCCTCAAGCTGCAAAGGCAAAGCTTTGGGTGTTGTGTTGGACCTTGTTTATACTGGAGGGCAAACCAGACATGGATCAATACCTTGATTGGCAGCTGTTAAGTTCTGACAGTCTCCAGCTGCTGCTCGCTCATTGCCGTTCTCGCCGTGTGGTCAGCCCTCCCTCTAATTGCTTCGCTCCTGCTGTAGAAACCTTAAATCTGCAGCAGGTTGGGGTCACGACGCTTTAACCATCTTGGTTTTTATCTGCTGCGAGAATTCCACATTGTTCCTTCCGACTATGCAAATCGATGACAAATCACCCAAAGCAGCCCTCGCTGATCAGTCATTCCTTTCAGTTGGCGGATGGAGCACAGACTCAATGAAACACTTGGCACATCTCTTTTCAGCAAGTTGGCGAACACCTTGGGACCTGGCGGCTTGCCAAATGAATACTGGCGGCGAGTGGGTGTTGTCATGGTAACGGCAAGCACTGGCATGCAACGGATAGCACCGGCTTTCCTGTGCAACCTCCCCTCTCTTTACAGCCCCACTGCAGCTTAATTTCACCGTGTCGGCTTTGTGGCTATAAAGGTGATGGGTGATGTAGAAGGAGAGCAAAGTTGGTGAGGCAGAGGCTAATCTTTAACCAGCCTATCAGGCAGCTTAGAATCAGTTAGTTACATGTTAACCAACCTAACTGCTAACATTAAATACCCAAAATATGGGTTACAGTTAAATTTATAAAAATGTTGTTTTTATTCTATTGATCTAACAAAATAACTGTATCTGTTAAAATAAAGGAAAAAACAATAAAAGATGCGTTCCTTTGAATTCTTTGCTTTTGGTGTCTTTAATTGCTGTAAAATCTTTATATAAAATCCACGTCAGCTTGTTTGCCAACTTAACCAAACAAGGTGCGTACGTATACTGGAATGGGCTGGTAATTAAATCCAGGTGTGACTAGTCACAGATCGGCAAAGCTGGAGGGACGAGAGCTGGAATGATTTGTGGAGGAGATCTCTTAATCTGCAACTATGTTGTTAATCTGGCAACC